AACTTGGAAACATAATTGCATAGTTTTCAGATACAATTTACAAACTAAGTACATAACATTTCAAGCAAACTATAATGGGTATAGTTTGGGGAATTCAATATACAGCTTTTTACCGATTCAGACTACATACATGGGTAATCATATAAACTATGACAGATTTAGTTTATGATATACATTACTACAAGAGAACAACATTTAATAATTATTTAAGTATAATTATTACCTTATACAGTATACATATGGATTATAATACAGTAGATCAATATAGAACTACACGCAAACTAGTTAATACAGGATTGTGAGACAACACTTCAATTGTACCTTTCGGGGTACCGGTTAAATCCTATCATAGTATAACCAGAGTCTCCTGGAGGGAGAGCGTGAGATTTATGAATAGATTTATTCGGGACTGACAATCCCACACCTAAACTGCTAGCTACAGTTAGGCAGGCATGACTGGGGTGACAAATGTCATTTATCCGACACTTGAAGAACGTCGTAAAGGTCACTAGGTCATATCAAGCATGGTTATACGACTCACAATAGTATAAACTAACCTTTGTTTGCGGGATTTCATTCTTCATTAGTTTTATTTTAATTAATAGAACTATTATACATTACACTGGAGGACTCTAGGGATACATTACTCGGTTTTATTTTAAATAATAAAACTACTATACATATTGGTGATAGTCAGGGTTTCAAACAGGACATACTATGCATACTAGTGATAGCCAGGGTTTCAAACAGAACATACTATACATACTGGTGATAGCCAGGGTTTTCCAAACAGAACATACTATACATACTGGTGATAGCCAGGGTTTTCAAACAGAACATACTATACATATTGGTGGTAGCCAGGGTTTTCAAACAGAACATACTATACATATTAGTAGTAACCAAGTATAAAACTAATATGTTTCATATACTACAACAGGATACAGTAACAAACAATCTTAGTTAATTCTATAATTCCTTAGTTTATGCATCAGGGCTATGTATGAAGAATATTTGATAGACTGTGGAATGTGTGGTTTCTGCCTCATTTCCCGTTCCTTGTTTGGTTGTGGGCTTAGGGCAGATCCACATAGTCAACTGCCTGTTCGATATTGGTTTATATGTGGCCAGTGTGAACTAAGTGGTTATTGAAGGAACTGGTATTATCATGCATTTACTAAAGAAAATATTGGATTTTCTTGGAAACATACGAACATTTTCATAGATTCATCAACAGGTTTTCATTACAAAACATCGCTTATGAACTCACCAGCTTTATGCTGATTCTCTTTCAAAACTGCTTGTATTCTCAGGAAATCAGTAGACAGGTACCTCCTGGAGTTTTGAGAAGACGGAGCATATTGAGTCACGTCTTTTTCTTTTGATTATACTTTTGATGTATAAAGGCAAGAATCAAACAGATGTAAATACCTTTTTATATATTCGATGTAATGGTTGTGTTTACTATGATTACTATGATGCAATTGTTGTGATACTACACATGACGTCATCCACCCCCGAACGTTTCCGTCGTTCTGGTTTAGGGGTGTGACAGTGCAAACCCTAAAAATTAGGGTTTCATCTCCCAACTCCTACTCGTCGAGTCCGGGTCCTCCGACTCTTCGAGTAGATCCAATAATCCACGCAGGCTGACTATGTTCTACACGACGAGTTGGGGCCTCCAACTCGTCGAGTTCCTTCAATAAAATGAGTAAAAAGCTTTTAAAAATATACCTGGGAGTCGGGGTATTACAAATAATGTTAACATATTTTACATTGAAATATTTCAAAACATATAATGTTAATATATATTGCATATTCTTTTTTTACGAACAATAGAATATTAGAATATTTCACTAAAAATATTTGGTCTCACGGTCTCACAAAATTATGTTCGTCTCAAATGAACTCTTATATATATATATATATATATATATATATATATATATATATATATATACACACACACCTTAAAAACATTTAGCTATTTTAGGACAAGAAAGTCTTAAATTTAAATAGTACAAAACATGAAGCATGAGTTACAACTATTTGGTGTACGCTTAGCGTACTGCGAAGGATGGATCTAGAGTGCGAGGCCTCGTACGCTGGGCGTACGAGGATTACGCGGGGCGTACGAGAAGTAGTGAAAACCCTAATTTTAATTGTGTACTCTATTTAAGCATCTTGAGTCTTTAGGGCTGGCCTCTTTACCAGCCCCCAAGCCTCCAAAAACCCTAAATCGACCCTTAGCCTCCACTAATGTGCATTTGAGCTCTTGAGGGGAATTAGGTGTTGTTTTGCTCATTTTTAAAGAGATTGAAGAAGGAGGAAGGATTATAGCTTGGTGGGGAACTTAGAGATCCAAAATCATTCTTCACTTTGCAAGCTCCTAGAGGTATCAAGTTCAAATCTTGACTTTTTAATGCTTAGATCTCTTCTTGTCTTGATCTTCATGCTTTTGGGGTCCCTTTTTGGGTTGATTGATGAGTTAAGTTGTTTGAAGGACTTATTCTTTAGGATCTGAGTTGGTATGAGGTTCTTATGGGTGCAAGCTTTATGAGGTTTAAGGTCACATGCATGTGTTGAGTCACTCAATAAGTCCTTTTGAGCTTTAAGAGCTTCATTTAGTCATGCATGAACGTAAAGTTAGCAACTTTACGTGATTATCCAACTTAAGGAAGTCAGATCTATGTTTTGGATCAATGTCTTAATGGATTAAGGAAGAAAAATGAGTTTGGGCTGAATGGAGGAGTATGTTGGGCGTATAAGCCTGTACGCACAACGTACAAGCCCTTAAGCCAATACGCTTAATGTACAAGCTGAGTACGCCCCGCGTACTCAGCAGGATGGGATTTCGGTGTTTGGGCCTTGGTTTGGGCCATCTTTTGGGCTTAGTTGTTTTGGGCCATGTTGGGCCATCAGGTTTTGGACAAATATTTATTTGTGGAGGCCCACTATGGGATTTGGGACCAATTTGGAAAACTGGGCCATGATTTGGGTCTTTGGGTGGCTAATTAGGATTGGGCCATTGGATTGTTGAATTGGGCCTTGGCTTTAGGCCAAGTTATGGAGAGGGTAAAAAGGTCTTTCACCCTAGTTCATACTTTTTCTATAAGTTGGGATCCCAGTATTTATTTGGATTATGTTTTGTGATTGTAGTGTGGGGATTTTAGCGGGTTAACCGCCAGAGATTTATCTACGGGATTCAGAAGTGCAAGGTGAGTCTCCTCACTGAGTTTGGTGGGTCGAAGGCACCAATGTCGGCCCATGGTTTATATGTAGGATGCTAGATGTATGCATGACTCTTGCATGTGTTATGTAATGGTATTCTTACCGGGAAAGGCCCGATGCCTGGCGGGGCCTGATGAGTATATTGTATGCTAGTTATCAGTATGTGTTTTATGCTTACCGGGCGAGGCTCGGTGACTGTATGGTATGCTATGGTCTTTGTGATTGTTGCATGTGCTAGTAAGATGGTATGTTTATATGATTCTATGGTTATACGATTATGTGTGTATCGGGCGGGGCCTAGTGATTGACAGATCTGTAATCCGAGCGGGACTCGATGTCGGGCGAGGCTCGAGAGCGGGCGGGGGCCCATTATGTGATTTATGTATGTATGGTATGTGGTATCTTGGGGAACTCACTAAGCTTTGTGCTTACGATTTTCAGTTTATGTTTCAGGTACTTCGGTTTTCAAATGGAAGAGCCTGGGATGATTGCAGAGTATATACCACCTCGTTCCGCATTTTCTCGATTTACTCTGATGTGAAATGATAATGGATACATTTATTTATTTGGACTTATATGATGATGTTTTGGGAATACTGGTTTTCTTAATTTAAAAAATGAACTTCTTTTTGGGTCTTATTGTTGGGACGTTACAGTAAATGTAGAACAAATATAATATGTAATAGGAAAAATGACTTAAAATGGTAAGATATTTTTCAATTTATACACATTTAGTCACTGATTTTTTTGTTACATTTCCCATTAAACTTGTCATCTTGTTCACAATCAATCCTTATGACCGGTTGATACGTGCTTAGTCGGTTTCTGGCATTATTTGCAGCTTTGATGAGACTTTGGTCATCTTCTCTAACGAGTCTCTAGCATTCATGATTTTTTCGGCGAAACATGCTCTTTCAGGAGTAGGTTTTTATGGGTCAGTTGTTGTTGTGTGTATTCATTTGATAAAAAAAATCCAAAAGTTCATTTATTCATCTGTAAAAATTGAGTTCATGAGCACATACATCAAGAAATATGAAATTGATCTTGAATGGACACATGAAAAACCATAAATTAAAATTCATGAACTCGAACTATCGAAATCGATTTCAAGAACACGACTTTCTAGAAGCCTACCATCTTCAATCATAGAAGTTGTATCCCCTACAAATCTTCCAACCCGAAAATCATAAACCCTAGAACTCAAAAACGCAAAATCATAAACAATATATGATGTATGTATGAAGTTCGACTTTCGAAGCTCGATCTGGAGTTCTTGAGTTCATGAGAAAAGAGAAGAAATAAAGAGAACGAGAGAATAGAAACCTTGAATATGAAACAAATCTGATGTGTATGTATGTGTGTGTTCATCTTTGTTTGTGTATGCGTTCTTGAATCTAGAAGATATATGATGTGTGTTAATCTTTATGTTAGAGAAAGAGAGAAAATAAAACAAAGAGAGAATGAGAGAATAGAAATATGGAACTGCCAAATATGTCGGAAAAGTCATAATAACCGTAGAAGATGACCATAGTCTTGCCGGAGCGGTCAAATACATCGAAAATCGGCTAAACCAATGATATCAGACCATAAATAAGGATGTTTTCTTGAACAGTTCAAACAAATTCATGACAGTTGTGGAAAATAAACCTTAATGACTAAATATATATACAAATCAAAAATATCATACCATTTTAAGTAAGTTTCCGTAATATTCTTTTATGAAAATGTTCTTCTTAGACAATGGACATGTTGCATTTATTATGACGCGTGGCAGGTTTTTTGCAACACTCGTCTTGTCTGATCGAGACATGTTACTTGTAATGAATAGAATTACATAAAACTATTAAATTTCTGTTGTAACCAGGGTAACTTGATTCGTTCTAGAACAAAATACTACAAACATCTCTTTGAAATACGAATTGGAGAGTTGCTATGTTGTTTACCAAGAATTCAGACTTCTTGAATCTTTCAGGTTTGACAATTCACAGACATCAACAATCATCATCGCCATTTTAGAGGTTAGAATGCTTCCGCCGAAATGCATATTGAAACAAAGACGATTTCGTGGTAATTTTGATTGGTGAATTCTATACGCGTTTATTATCGCAATTACCCGTTTTCCCATTTAGATATCTAATATCTTAGGTCAAATATCAGTTACCAAGATCTCCCTATTTCAAGAAATTCAGAGGTATTTCTCCGTTTCAAAGTTCTGTTTGTTTGTTAGATTTGAGCTTTAAGCTTATTAGGTTCTGCTAGATTTATTGTAATTAAAAACCCTAAGTTTGGATTCAGCTCTTCGCCTCTTCCCCGATGCTTTTGAAAATTTGGAACACAAAGGATCAGCGTTATTGAATGGATAATAATTATAATCATTCATCTCAATACAATCCATACCCTTATGGATATAATCCCAATTCTTCTCCATATCCACCACCTTCCAATTACCCTCAATATCCACCTTCCAATTCATCTCCATATCCACCGTATCCCCACCCATATCCACATCCATCACCACCACAAACCCCACCGGAATACTCATATCCACATCCATCACCACCACAAACTCCATCGGAATACTCATATCCACATCTATCACCACCACAAACCCCACCGGAATACTGGTACCCTCCTCCACAACCATTTTCCGGTGCACCACCTCCATATCAACACCCTGGATATGGCTACCCTCCCCCACCACAATACAATCAAGAAACCTTTCCTCCTCCATTTCCACCTCCTGAAGCTCAACTGCCTAACCACCACCACCTCCACCACCACCACCACCACCAAGATAGTGGTGGTGGTGGTGAAACACCACCACTCTCAGCTCCAATCTATTACCCGCCTATAGATCATCATTTATCTCAACTATCTTTATCTGAATCTGCACCATCCGCCCCCGCATCACCACCTGCACCCGCCGCCACGTCAGCAGAAACACCGCCAGTCACCCCTCCAATCTATCCAAGTGTGATTACAAACGAATCTTTATCAAGTCATAGTTTTCATGGGCATTCTTCAAATCCTGAGGTGCCTCTTTTACATAGCAACTCTCTTGATCTATCTCAAACTCCCTCTCTCAACAACGCCCCTTCATTCATAAACCCACAAAACAATCAACAATACCAAATGGTATCATTTGGGCCTTCAAAAAAGGCATTAAAAGTCCTCCTTCTACATGGGAATTTGGACATATGGATACACGAAGCAAAAAACCTTCCAAATATGGATATGTTTCATAAAACAATGGGGGATTTTTTCAATAGATTTCCTGGAACCCGAAGTAAAATCACCAGTGACCCTTATGTTTCCATAGCTGTGACAAGTGCTGTGATTGGAAGAACTTATGTGATTTCCAACAGTGAGAATCCAATTTGGAAACAACATTTTAATGTACCTGTTGCACATCATGCAGCTGAAATCCATTTTCTTGTTAAAGATAGTGATGTTGTGGGGTCACAACTTATAGGAGTTGTTGCAATCCCAGTTGAAGATCTGTATTCAGGAACAAGAATCGAAGGGTTTTTTCCATTGATTGGAACAAATGGAAGACCTTGTAAGAATGGAGCTGGTTTAGGGCTTTCAATTCAATACATTTCAATGGAGAATTTGAGTTTTTATCATAATGGGGTTGGAGTGAATCCTGAAGGGGTACCAGGGACATATTTTCCATTAAGAAGAGGGGGGAGGGTGACTTTATATCAAGATGCACATGTGCATAATGGGAGTTTACCAGATTTTAGGCTTGATGAAGGAATGCATTATGTTCATGGGACTTGTTGGAATGATATATTTGAAGCAATAAGTAAAGCAAGACATCTGATTTATATAACAGGGTGGTCTGTGTGGCATGAAGTGAGACTTGTACGTGGGGTTGGTAGTTTTCCCGAATATACCCTTGGTGAGCTTTTGAAATTGAAATCCCAAGAAGGTGTCAGAGTTTTGCTTCTTGTTTGGGATGATCCTACTTCAAGGAACATTTTGGGCTTCAAAATGGTAAGTTTTTTTTTTTTTTTTTTTTCTTATAATCTTTATTAACATGTGTTTGGATTTACATTTTGAAAGTGATAATTATGACCCGAATAATCAGAATCAGATAATCAGTTGTTTAAGGTATAAAAATTTTGGGCTTAATGTTAATTTTGTAAATATGTTGAAAGACAAGGACCTTTCAGTCATTTGGCCCCATAAGAATTGAAAAATATGTACATCACAAAGATCAAAGCTTTATTCAATATACATAAAAAAAGGTCAAAGCTTTATTCAGTATACACCACTTATACTTTATTTTTTTTCAATAAAACTATAATTTTTTCAGACATCTTTCCAATTTAACCAATGGTTAATTTTGAAAATTAGCATTAATATAGGACTTTTGAAATTTTTGGGCTTAATAATTAATATATAAATATTTATTTCAGGATGGATTTATGGCTACTCATGATGAAGAAACTCGGCATTTTTTTAAGCATTCTTCAGTGCAAGTGCTGCTTGTTCCTCGTATGGCTGGAAAAAGACACAGCTGGGTGAAGAAGCAGGTGTGCAAGAATTCTTAAATGTAGAATATATTTAATATATTTAAACAAAAAAAAAAAAAAAAAAAAAGATTGTAACTATAGAATCTATATTCTCTAAAGTATAAAGTATGCAGCTTCGATAACTTTATAAGTAGAAATCTTTTTGAAGATATAAAAAAGTTGCACCTTTTATAAAGCTCTGGCTGTTTGTACATTTATAAACTTTTATTTTTTTATAAAAAATATTTCAACTTTTTTATACTTAAAGGAGACATGACTTAATCTAATAAGCTGTATATGGGTGTTCCTTTTGACCTAATGCAGAAAGGACTTATTAATAAAGAAAGTTTTCCCATTAAATCCTAACTTGTTACAAACATGTCCTCTTTTTTCTTTTTTCATTTTCCCAAGTGTATCACATTTTCTCAAATATTTTTCAAACCATATACACCATTTGGACATTTATAAAGTTCTCTTATTTTTTTACTCAAAAAGTTGTACCTTTTACTCAAAAAGTTTCAACCTTTTTATATATATTGCTTTTTTACTTAATGAGACATGACCTAATCTAGTAAAGCTATGTCCTCATACTTTTCCATTTTTTTCAAACATTTACTAATTCATCCTTTTTCTATTATACTGGTGTTTCTTTTTTACTTAATGCAGAAAGAATGACTTAATAAAGAAAGTCACAAAAATGATACTTACCTCATTAAGTCCTAACTTTTTACAAATATGCCCTCATTTATCTGACTTGTTTCCACTTTCCCAGGTCTTCTTTTCGTTTCTCAAATACTTTATAAACATCATTCATCTATTACAACACGTACAAAAGCTTCAAGTAAAGTGAAATTACGAATTCACCCTTTTTTCTAATATTGATTTTTTTTCTTAATGTGTTTTAGGAAGTTGGAACTATTTATACACACCACCAAAAAACAGTGATTGTTGATACTGATGCTGGATATGGTAAAAGAAGAATCATGGCTTTTGTTGGAGGACTTGACTTATGTGATGGGAGATATGATACTCCACAACATCCTTTGTTTAGAAGTCTTTCAACAGTTCATGCAGATGACTTTCATAACCCTACTTTCACGGTGATTAATCCAATATCTTTTTCATTTTTTCTTGACTTTTAGTTTGATTAATTCAATCTTTTTTGAGAAAATTGTATTGGGTTATTAATTTTTTCCAACATTTACCACAACTATCTTTAACAGAAGTTATATATTAAAATGAGTTCTTTTAGATGAGAATTATATTTGAATCACTTATTGATATACTTTTATTTATAACGAAAAGGGCAACTTAAAAGTTTGACATTTTTCCAAGCGAACCATTTTGACCTGTTATATTTCTATATTCCACAGGTAATTTTCCAGATTACACATTTTGACAAGTTTATATTTATCAAGTCAAAATGGTTAAATTTGAAAATATCTGAAACTTTTATGGATTTATTGGAAAAATGAAAGTATAAGTGGTTAAACCGCATAATTGCCCAAAATATAATGGTTATATCTAATTTCACAAATAGAACGAAAAAGCTTAAAAGGAAGATAGCTTCAAGTTTTTCCATAAAAGATATATATTTTGTTTTTCAAAAATGCAAAAATACTCGATATCACGGTTGCTTTCTTGCCATTTTCCCTTTATTAATATTATCTTTTGCAAGATATTATTTATTTATGAGTTATGAGAATATATATTTATTTTTATTTTTTTAATCAGGGTAATCTTGCGGGTTGTCCAAGAGAACCATGGCATGACATGCATAGTAAAATCGATGGTCCAGCAGCATATGATGTGATGACTAATTTTGAAGAAAGATGGCTAAAAGCTTCAAAGCCTCATGGTTTTAAAAAACTCAAAACTTCATATGATGATGCTTTACTTAGAATAGAAAGAGTACCCGAACTTTTGGGTGTAAATCATCAACCTTCCTTTAGTGATCAAGATCCCGAAGGCTGGCATGTACAGGTAACTAATTATTTATTTATTTATTTTTCAAAAAATATCAATTTAGCCCATATTTTTTGTATATATTATAACCTCTTTCTTTATTTCATGTAGATTTTCCGTTCAATCGATTCAAATTCGGTTAAAGGGTTTCCAAAGGATGCGAGGTTAGCTGCAGAAAAGGTGTGAGATTTACTGATTAAAATTTATGAAAAAGAAAATATTAAATATGAAATATGAAATATAAAATGAAAATGTTGTTGATGGATTTATAAACAGAATTTGGTTTGTGGGAAGAATGTGATGATTGATATGAGCATACATTCGGCATACGTGAAAGCTATTCGTTCCGCACAACATTTTATTTATATCGAGAATCAATACTTCATCGGATCATCATACAATTGGAGTTCCTATAAAGACTTGGGTAAATAACTTCTCTTTTATATATGCTTATTATGCATGTGCCTGATACAAACTTAAACTTTATCAGGCACATACTGTACTAGGCCTCGTACACACACTGTACCAGGCCTAGTACATGTACCAGGCCTGGTAGACTGTAACAGGCCTGGTACTACCATACAATGTACCATCGTGGTTTTATTGTGTGTATCAGGCACAATGTGCCTGATACATAGTTGCATGATATGGAGATGAAGATTTGGTAAATGAAGTTTTCCATATATGATTTATTATGTTTGTTAGGTGCCAACAATTTGATACCAATGGAGATTGCGCTTAAAATCGCAAGTAAAATCAAAGCACACGAAAGGTTTGCAGTGTATATCATCATCCCTATGTGGCCAGAGGGTGTCCCTACGGGCTCTGCTACACAACGTATTCTTTTTTGGCAGGTATATTAAATCCAAGAAATATCAACCTACTTACTTACAAATGCAATTAAAAATGTTTCATTTAAAAAAAAAAATTTGCAGAACAAGACGATGCAAATGATGTATGAGACGATTTACAAGGCTTTGGAAGAAGTTGGGCTTGAGGGATCATTTTCAGCACAAGATTATTTGAATTTCTTTTGTCTTGGAAACCGTGAAGCTTCTAGTCCAGATGATAATTTAGGTGATGAGAGCCCTTCTACGGGAAATACTCCTCAGGTGAGTGACCTCCCGTTTGACTCTTTGACTTTTTTAAGAATTAGCAGTCTACTTTCATTTATTTGTTAACACTACAGGATTATACTTTTGTTTCTTCCTATTTACAGCATTATAAGCTGAAAAATCTAACCAGTTATAGCAATGTTATCATTGGGTAAATTTTTCAAAGTACAATGTCCTAATAAGGAAAAAAGTTAGAATTCAATGTTGTAATAGAAATAAATAAGAGCAGGATTATTGCATCTTACTTTTATTTCTTCCTATTTACAGCATTTTAATTTGAAAAATCTACCCAATTATAGCAATGTCATCCAAATGCAATGCGATTTTTAGTGTGGGGTTTTTAAAGTACAATTTTTCCAATAAGAAAAATAAAAGTTATAAATACAATGTTGTATAATTGGGTGGTGTTTTCAATCTACAATGCCTGAATAGGAAAAAAAGATGAAAATACAACGCTGTAACATAAAGAAATAAAAGTAGGATACTATAATAAACAAATGAATTAGTACTTCCTATTAGAAAACTAATACATTTAAGCATTATTTCTAGGTTCTATTTATTCAGAAATTGTTTTTTGTCTCATGAAATAAGGAGAATAAATGTGATTGTGGGTCCCACTTTCAACAAATTTGATCATTGTAATCCTAAATGATCAGAATCAGTATTTATTTACAAACATCCAAAACACCCCGTAACAAATACCTGTTTTGCAACATAGGCCCTCACATATTTGTTACGTTTTCTCACATAAAAAGTTGTTTATTTTTCATAGCAAAGCAATGAATACATTTATTTTTAAAATAAAATTATTATTATTATTATTATAGGGACTTTCTCGTAAAAGCCAGAGATTCATGATATATGTACATTCAAAAGGCATGATAGTTGATGATGAGTATGTAATTATCGGATCTGCAAATATAAATCAACGCTCTATGGAGGGATCAAGAGACACAGAAATTGCAATGGGAGCTTATCAACCTCATCATACCTGGGCAATAAAACACGCCAATCCACTAGGACAGGTAATCTTTTTCCCCTTTTTTATTTTTTTAATTCTCAATTTCCCAAAGGAATGGAATCGTTCATTCCGTCGGAATGAGAAAAAACTCTTTGTTTTGTTTTGATGGAATGGAATCACATGACACGTGTTTTTTTTGTAGGTATACGGATACCGAATGTCCCTATGGGCAGAACATCTTGGGCACGTGGACGACCGTTTTACACATCCGGAATCTCTGGAATGCGTGCGCCACGTCAGATCATTATCCGAAGCTAATTGGAAACAATTTGCATCGGATCAAGTATCAGAAATGAGGGGACATCTTTTGAAATACCCCGTTGAGGTTGACCGAAGAGGAAAAGTCAAATCTCTTCCTGGATTTGAAACTTTCCCCGATGTAGGTGGCCAAATCGTCGGCTCCTTCCTTGGGATTCAAGAGAATTTGACTATTTGACCAGTTTTTTTTTTTTTTTTTGTTGACAGTTTTGACTTTTCAAGATTTAGGGTTTCTTCATATTCCAATTTTTTTGATAGAGTTTATGATGTGTATAGTTTTGTATGCAAATAGTTTGTTCTTTATGTTATATTTGTTGATTGTACATTTGAGTACCCTTTCTTTATATTTAAATAAATCTTTTGAATTTGTGCCTTTTGGTATATGTAGTTTCTAGGGATGGTTTGAGTTTCACGGGTTTATAATGCAAAATATCATTTTGAAGGTTTAGGATTTTGGGTTTATGGAAGTTTGAAATTGACATTTTATTGGTTTATAGCCAAATCATTAAAACCCATACTAGGTTTTACAAATTCTATGTTCTTAGAAGATTTCATATTTTCATGTTTATCAAGATAAAATTGCAAATTGTGTTGTAAAAAAACGTATAAAAAATAATAATTTTATCAATTTACTCATTTAGATATTGTGTGTAGTGACAAACCATTACAATTTTACCATTTAAGAAAATCAATTTTATCCGTTTTGAAAAAAGAAAAATTGAAATAAATACAATCGTAATTTAGTTTCACGTTGATTTGATCACAAAACTATTACTTTCTTTATGGTTATTGAGTGGCTAATTAGACAAAAAGTAATAGTTGAGTAGATTAAAAAAAAAAAAAAGTTATAGTTATTGGTACGTTATGTATTATGCATTTTACTAGGGCTGTAAACGAACCGAACGAACACGAATGGGTTTGTTCATGTTCGTTCGTTTAAGTTAACCGAACAAATGAACGAACACGAACAGTTAAACGAACGAGTTTTCTTGTTCATGTTCGTTCGTTTAACAAACTACATTGTTCATGTTCGTTCGTTTATGTTTGTGAACATGCTAAACAAACAAACATAGACGAACAAAGATAAACAAACATATATGAACATAAATGAACATATAATCTAGTAATGTAATCAAACACCATTAAACATATATGAAGATAAAAGGAACTTATATGAACGAACATAAACAAACGTAAACGAACAACATAAACGAACGTTCACGAACATAATTGAACGAACGAGACCATTGTTCATGTTCGTTCGTTTAACTAAACGAACGAAAATTTGTGTTCATGTTCGTTCATTTATTAAATAAACGAACATAAACAAATTTCTCGCCGAACGGTTCACGAACAGTTCGTTGAACGTTCAGTTCGTTTACAGCCCTACATTTTACCCTAATATCAAAACATACTAACTAGAAGAAATGGTTTTTCTAACTGTTAAAAATTAAAATAGTTTAATCGCTACAAAAAAAAAATTGATACGTAACTAAATCGATAAAACAATGAAAGTGTATATATTTATCTATATTTTGTCCTAAAACAATCATTTTTGCATAAAAAACACTATGTTCTTGCAAAGTTGAACACTTTTAAACAAAGGGCGTCAAAAAAACAACTCTTTTCCATATTTTGCATTTTTATAACTTCATAAATCGCCAATTCCTTTTAATAGCATTTTTAAAGCATTTTCACAAGAAAAATAATCGTTAACCGGATGTCATCTGATATGAGTTACTTAATGCGATGAAAAAACACATTGGCATTTTCAAAAATTACATGCACATCAAACTCTATTTTATGCATCATGTTTTATTACAATAGGTTATTTTCAGTATTATTTTTGGATGTTTGGATGTGTTTTATGAAATTTATCATTTAATATTTGTGACTTGAATAATGAACTTCTAGTGTTTTCGTTAAATCATTATGATTACTAGATTCTATAAAGTTAAATAATCAGTAATTTCGTATCAGTTACAATAAAGTGAAGTATCAAAGAAACTGTAATCACTTAATTAGCTTTCTGCATCAAGTTTCAAGTAATCCTCCAAATACCAAAATGAAATTCTCAATTTGGCATGATTACGTTCTCAAGGTGATTGTTTTGTAAAACTAAAAATAAATAAATAATGCAAATCCATTTTTTTGTTAGCATTATTACATTCTTAGGGTGATTGTTTGTAAAAGAAAAAAAAAATTAAAATTACATCTAAACACCTCACAAAAGTTTTAACTGAAGGACTAGTTCTGTAAGAAGAAAAACGAAAAGAAAAAGGAATGTTGACAGTGGGATTTGAACCCACGCCCTTTCGGACCAGAACCTTAATCTGGCGCCTTAGACCAACTCGGCCATATCAACACATGTTTTACACGTCAAATGTAAAAATCAAATAATCATATAATTAATAAATTATATTGGATATAAGAAATAACCATGCACTTTCCATTTCTTTTATTATAGCGTACGTATCTCACTTTTTTCTTATCACAAACAGTGCATCAATTTTTATCCATAGTCGCAATTCTTGAGTCTTGATTTCACTTAAGATCATGGTTTTTATGTCATCTCAATTTTCTACAAAAATGTCCACGCAAAATATAATGCTTATGCCACAGAAAAAATTAACACTTTCAAACTTCAAATTTTGTACTGTTTTTCTTTTAATTATAGCATGAAAGTTCATATTTTCATCATATCATTGTACTTATATTTCTCACATATCATTTTTTATTCCTTCTTTCTTTTCAGAAATTTCTCCATAAAAACAAAAGAGATTTTATATCAAGCTTTTAACTTTGAAAAAAATTCAAATCGAAGAAAAAGATTTATTTTGAAATATGAGTTTAATTTATTTATTTTAGAACAAAATTTTCATAATCCAAAAGTTAATTCAAATATATTTTGAATTTTTTTTTAAAATGTAATTTTACACCTTTCAAGCATATAATTACTTTCGCCGATTATTTTTATAGTTTAAGCTTCACCTATGCACACTAATTTTGCCAAACATACTCTTAGTTTGGAGAATCATCCACTTCCTCATGAGAATATATATATATATATATATATATATATATATATATATATATATATATATATATATATATTATTTTTTTTGTTGCAAACATACTTAATTGAATGTACAATTTCTAAAAAGGTTAAAAGTATAGTATTATCATAAGAAATAAAATTTTGATGATACAGTTATAAAAAATTTGATAAAAATATGTAAGTTTTAAAGTTTTTAATACTCGTAAGTCGTAAGCATGTCATAAAACATGCCGATTGTGCGAATATCATCTTAATTAAAATAAGAAAATTAACCATTGGTATAATGTGTAAATTATTCAAAGTAGAATTCCATATTAAAAAATTAATTTGAAAATACAATACAACATTGTAATAAAATAAACAAAAAATACAATGTCTTAAAATACATTTCTATTTCTTGCATTTTATTCAAAGGTTGTGATCCCAAACCAGACAATTTTTCCATGACTTTTTTACCATCTACTTTCAATAATTTTAATCTAAACCATAAAAAGCACCACAAATAGATCTAACAAAACAAAAAATCAAATAAAATTATACAAAAATCACATCCAAATAAAATAAAACTCTTGTTCTCTCATATCATAACATTTTAATTTCTCAATTGTTGATAGGTTTTTTCCCTTTTCTTGCCCTTTCTAATTCTGATTCGGCTTCTTTAAGTTGCTCTTGAAGCCTTGAAACTCGTATCTCTATCTCTTCTAGTGTCCCTCGAGTAAACAAAGGTTTATATGGTTTCAAGAAATGTTGAGAAAAATCTTTTAATGCTTCCACTCCACAAACCTGTCAAAAACACAAGGGTAGATCAGTCAATTCCCTTTTTCGTTTATCATATACAAAAAAGAAAATAGGGTCAACTTTTGAAGGTCTTGTAATCATAGGTTGTACCCTTTAATGTTAATAAATATTTCTCCAACTATAATAAATAAGTTGTCCATTAACCCTCAAAAGTCAAACATTTGACCTTTTTTCCAGGATCAACAGAGTAGTAGTACATTATACATTGTATTATTAAATTAAAAAAATAAAATAAAAATCCAAACACATAATTAGCAAAGAATTATTTACCTCTTGAGGAAGCAATGGCAACTTTGTAATATTGAAATCATCATATAACATGTAGAATTGATCAAGGTATTTTTGCTGCATTTTCATTCGAGCTTTCAGCAATTTAGATTCAACACCTGAAATAAAATCCAATGTAAGCTTCATGAGTATACAACATGAACAATATAACAAAAAAATATTTTAAGATATTTAAATTACTCTTGCATCATTTAAATTCCTTTTGTTGTGTGAAAAAAAAAACATTGAAACAACATCAACTTGCTACAACTTGTAGGTTGACCATTGTTTCAAGATTCTAATTAGTAAAAAGATAAATAAAACCATAACTTTAAAAAAAAAAAAAAAAAAAAAAAAAAAGAAGTATACCTTCTTCATCAAAAAGCACTTGATTGATGATAATATTATGTGTATCAATCTCAAATTTAGTGAGTTCTTGAACCAATCTTTCAGTTTCATATAATGAGAGGAATTCAGGAATGCAAACGCATACAAAAGTTGTCAAATCCTGCAATTGAGAAAGTAAAGATATGTTAAATTACTTATTTGCCCATGGTCAGTAAGTACTACATTATGCTCCTGTTCTTGTTGCTGCTTATAGGAATCTTGCAACACATCTATTTTGGGAGTTTTTCATGTTAAATGTATTCAACCATTACAAGATTCTCCTATTGCTGTTACTACTCAAGGGTATTTTAGACATTTGACTAAAATATATGCATATTACCGGATCTTTGAACTGTCTGTTGACTTGTTCAATAACTTCTTTCATACCCTCAAGCCTTCCCAATATTGCATCCTCACCAAACTCTTCTCCAACACCAAACATACGAGTCATCTGCCATTATTTTTTCACCAATTCGTTAAGTAAAAAGACCAAAAAGGACATTAATATGTTTTGTTGAATAATTTCATTTAGAAACACAAAAGTTTATTCATCAATAAGAAAATTTACTTTCTACCGATTATAATATCATCTTTTCACATACTACTTACCAAAAATCTTTATAAAAATTGCCATCTATATTCCAGATTTCCAGATACAACATATTATTAGTCTTCTACAAGAACTCTTGAATTTATAGTTAAAAAGAGGGGTAACACAGTACTTTTCCATTGGATAATCAATTTTGTAAATTTGAGCCCCGAATAATCAGAAACTTTTCAAATCGTAATAACCAAATAATCAAGTAGAAAACGTGCATCCAAACACGACTTTGAACACTTATTATCATATCTTTATTTTTTTTCCCACAATTTAGCAAAATAAAAATGCTAATTTTTTAAAATGAAAAATAAATAATACCTGACCCAATAATCCACCAAATTTACTCTTTAAAGTCATCATTTTGGCAAGACCTTTCTCTAATGTTGATGGGAATTGCAATAACCGAAGTGTATGACCAGTTGGAGCAGTATCAAACACTATCACAGAGTAATCCATCGTTTGCACCAACCTATAATTAATATATTTTTTTTAAAAAAGAAAAAAAAAAGTATTTCTTTTTTAGAACAATAAAGATAAATAGTAACATTTAAGTCACATAACAAATGGAAGATTTTTTATTCCTCTCGAAATCTGAAGAGAAGAACACCTAATTGGTTGATTAGAAATCGATTAGGATGGAAGGTTCTTCTACTTTATTGTCTTGGAGGGTATTTTAGTCATTTTATTTTTACCAGCAGACAAACACTTCTAATGTTGAGTAAAGCCGATTGTTGCAGTTTGACAAGATTTAATATCTGAACATGTTACACAACTGAAGTTGAAAAACCATTTTTGTTCTGAATGGTAAATGCAAAATGACCAAATTATCCCTAACTTTAATCAACAGATAGATAATCTTATTTTCATTCTTTAAGTCCCAATAATCACTTTGAAAAATGCATATCAAAACACATTCTTGACAATGTAGTAATGTACAAGAAATAGCAATGCACTTTCATGTGTTTGTTATGACATCATATTTAGATTTCTTTCTATTATACAATATTGTAATTTAAGTTTTTTTTTTTAATTTATTTATTAGAACATTATATTTTGAAAAATCTATCCAACTATAGCAATGAAAACTGCTTTGTAAGTTTGTATATGAATGATATTGCTATAATGTGTAATGTTGTAATAGGAAGAAATTAAAGTAGGATGTTATTAGTTTATAATAAATTAATCAGTGAAAGTACATTTCCATTTTTTGATTGTTATATTTCTGAATTATATTAAAAGTATAAAAAAACCAATACTCACTTTAGCATCTCAGCAAAACTCATAGCCTCATCAATTCCAGGAATTGAATTTGCTAAATCAGATAGAAAACCATCCATTCCATCTGAACTACCGGTTTCTTCAGGCTCCACAGTAGGATCCACCTCCTGCAAAAGACCAAAATACCCTCATTACATATATATTTATAGCAAACAAAAAATATTTAAATAAAATTAAACTGGAAAATTACAGAAAAAAACCATTATATTTTGGGCAGTTTTGAGGTTTAGCCACTAATACTTTACTTTTTTCCAATCAAACCATAAACGTTTCAGACATTTTTTATTTTTCCAAATTAACCATTTTGACCAAAACAGGTCAAAAGGGTTAAAAATGTGTGAAACTTTTCTGGTTTAATTGAAAAAAAAAAGTAAGGTATAAGTAGTTCAAACACAAGATTTTTCAAAATGTAATGGTTCTTTCTGTAATTTGCCCTAAATAAAAATTTAAAAATTATTATATAAGTAGTTGAATTTTATTTTGAAGTCCATTCCTTTTCCTACCAACCAAACGTGTCACAGATTCCTATTTCTTTGACAGATTTCATTCCTTCCAAAAACATTCTATGAACCCCTAATTCAACCTAGATCACATAACCCTATCCCCAAATATCAAAATCAATCAAGAAACATGAAACCAACTATCAATGACTTGTCATAGCATACAACAAGGTGAACCCATTAACTAAAGATGAAGTCTTGGGTGAAGGAACATTCAAAAAGATATGGTTATAACCATTCTTGTAGCTTATATTAATAACCATTTATTGAATATTCTAATCAATCATGAAACTTGAAACTTGAAACTTGAAACTAATTACCAAAGACTCATCATAGCATACAAAATGCTGAAGTTTTGTTGGATAAACAAAATCAACAAGTTATAATTGTAAATATTGTCATCATGGCATATAAACTTCTACTAAACCATATATCATCCAAGTTCAAATGATCCCAAAACACTAGAATTAACCGATAACTGTGAAATTAATTGCTAAAGAGTTATCTACAAGCTATGATTTTCTCAATCTTTGTAAACAGGCTTGAATTTTCTACCTTCTTTTAAAAATTGACCAACCAAGTTCACATAAATCTCAAGTCAGTGAATAAACACAATGAAGCATTGTAAACAAAATTGAATCTCTTTTACCCCTTTCTGATAATTGACTAATCAAAGTTCAAATAAACCCTAAATCCCACATAAACTCCAAATACTAAAATCAATTAGGAAAAACAAAATTAACCAGCAAAGACTCATCATAGCATACAAGATTGCGAACCCATCAACCAATATCATGGTTCTTCAATGAATAACCAAAATACAGCATATCGATTTTTGGAATTCGGGCAACCTAGTTGATATAATTCAAACAATTATTGAACCAATAACTTTAAAAAATGGTAATTGAGTAGCGTACGACTAACCATAGCATACAAATTGGTGAAACCATTAACCAAAGTAGGAGATTTTGTGAATCTTTGTTGGAAAGCATCGCTGAGATTATGAGCTGGGTCAGTTGAGATGATAAGAACAGAGGATCTAACAGAAGCCAAAAGGATTGAAAGAATTGAGCTGCACGTAGTTTTCCCAACACCTCCTTTGCCACCAACAAATACCCACTTCAAACTCTCTTGTTCCAATACATTGCGAATCGTCCCTTCTGGTATCTCTTCTTGTCCAGCCATCTCTACCCCTTATTTTCTCTCTGTTTTATTGAGTTTCAGTAATTTTACAGAAACCCTTAAAATCGGAGAGGGAGAGAGAGAAAGCGGTGGTGATTTTGGATTTTTGGTGATGGGTTTTTGATGATTTTGATGTGATTAGTTTAGTTCCGGGATAGATCTACACAGATGGGCTCTACGGGATAAATAATAACTAAGGAAGTTCGGAAGGTCATTATTGGGAAAATAGTGAAGTTATCTTTTCGTTTTATTTGCGTTTAGACGATTTATTTTAGAAAAAATTATTAATATAGTCAAATTTGATAATTATTTTATAAAAAATAGTTAAAACAGCCAAAATTATACTCAATAACCATCAATTTCAGATTAGGACCGGCTATGAAATGAGTATTCCATCAAAGTACAAGCATTATGCTTTGGAGACATTTACCTATGAAATCAGTCATTCTATCTATAAAATAGGCTAGTTTTAGATATAAAAACTTTTTTTTTAAATAACTTTTTTCTATTTTTTTGGTTGGGAAAATTCTCTGATGAGCTATGGACAAAAATATATATTTTTCTGAAAAGTTAAAAAAAAATTCAAAGATATAAGTCATAAACTAAGATTTTTTTTTGCATATTTTAGATAAAATCTACTAATTTGTACGAATTCATAGTCATAGTTGTTTGATTTCATAGTCAACCTTAAGAAATTCATAGTCAAAACCAACAATTTAAAAAAAAATCTACTGACAAATAACAGCAGATGAAATGAGAGCATTTCATAGATGGATTGTAATTAGAGGTGTCAAAATACCTGAACCCAAACCGGAATAAGATTAATAGGGTCTAAAATGAAAATCGGGTTAACCCGACAAGCCCGAAATATACTTAGGGTCGGGTTTTGGGTAACATTATTTATAAAATTTCGGGTTCGGTTTAAACCGAACGATTAAACTAACCCATTGGAAACATACTTTACCTATTTTGCATTCTACAACCTTTTCAATCACGTCTTCAACGACACTTTCAATCCATGATTCTTCATATGTAACTGATAGGAGTTTTTTTCTTCTATTTTTTTCATATTTACCTTGTCAAATATTATTCATATATAATATAATTGAATAGTTGATGGACCGAAGGAGCATATTAATAATTTGTTCGAGTAGTTCCTTACTAAAGATTGTTAGTAGCATATTCTCATCCATGGACCACTCACCCATATATATATATATATATATATATATATATATATATATATATATATATATATATATATATATATATATATTAGGGTTAAGTTCATGTGAGACGGCCTAATTTTGTGAGACCGTGAGACACAATCCTAGCCATTCATTTGGTAGATAAAACAAAAAACATTTTTAAAATACAAAATAATTGAAAATTTTCGAAAAAAAAATTTCAAATATTATTTTCGGAATTTATATTTTCCAAAAAAAAATAAAAAAAAAATACTTTTTTTACATATTCTAGTAGAATAATAGAATATTCTACATATCCGAGAAATCTAGTATAATATTCTAACATTCTAAAAACCACATTAGAATATTTACAGTGTAATATTCTATTAGAATATTTCACGTATTTAAAAAAAACGGTAATTTTTTTTTATTTTTTTTTTATTTTTTTATATTTTTTTAGGTAATTAAAGTTCCGAAATTAATAATTAAAAAAAGAATTTTTGGATTTTTCCTTTTATTTTGCATTTTAAAATTATTTTTAGATTTGGTCTCACGGTCTCACAAAATTAGCATGGTCTCAAATGAACCTAAACATATATATATATATATATATATATATATATATATATATATATATATATATATATATATATATATATATATATACACACACATACACTAGGTGAATGCACGTACGTTGCGCAGAAACACCTATATAGTTGAAGTCTTTACAAATATATGTTTTTTTTAAATATACCAATAACGTTGTTGTTAAATTTGATATAAAAATTTGTATACTAAATTGATATAATATATTGATTATTTTGAATTATATTATAATATATATATATATATACATCTATTATAACTGCATAATCTCAATCGTTTGAATGACTTCTATCCGCAAGTTACACATGAATAAAATTAAATATAATATATGATTTAATGTTAGTTATAGTTGTTGTTATTGTTAATTAATTTTTTAAAATTTATTTGCTTAGTGTTTTAATTTCTATCATTATAATTAAAACATCAAACATTATTTTTTTGATTTTAAAGATAACAATATAATCATTTATATAGAGTTATTTTTAACTATTGTTATTGTAAGTTATTTTAAGCTACTTATTTGAAAACTTTTAACGATTATAAAAATATATTTAGTAAATATTTTAGTTCAATTGAGATTACAATTTAATTTTTTGCATTTATCACTATAATTTATCAATTTTAACTATTTACAAAATATTTTTTGGTTTTTTAAGTGGAACTGAAATTTATATTTAAGTTGACATTGTAATGTTATATTTAAATTAACAATTTAAGTATTTTGTCAAAACTGTTCAAAAGTTTTAGCTTTAAACCCAATAATGGTTTACTTACAACAACATACTAAATCTAATAAATTAAGTATAATATGTTAAAAGTTAAAGACATAACTTTATAAGTAGAAGTAAAGATATTGTTTTAAAATTGAAATTTAGTATATATATGATTACACTTTAGGTTTGATATTTATTTAACCTTATTAACCAACTTATAATCATTATTAGAAAGACACTACAATTAATCACTTTTAACTACTTACAAAATATTTTTTTGGTTGTTTAATTTAACTAAAATTTATATTTAAGTTGGCCATGTAATGTTATATTCAAATTAATAATTTAAATATTTTATACAGATTGTTCCAAAACTGTATCTTTAAAATGATAATGGTTTACATCCAACAATATATTAAAACTAATAAATTAAGTATAATATGTTAAAAGTTAAAAAAAACATACTTTATGAGTAGAAGTAAAGATATTATTTTAATATTGAAATGTAGTTTATATATGATTACACTTTAGATTTGATATTTATTTAGCCTTATTAACCAACTTATAATTATTATTAGAAAGAAATTGAAAAATCATGGGAGTTTCAAATGAATGTGGTGAAAGGAAAAATGCATAGGAGTTTCAAATGAATGTGGTGAAAGAAAAAATGTTTCATTTATAATATAGTATGATATGATATGATATATATATATATATATATATATATATATATATATATATATATATGCACTTTGAAGTTTAAACTATATAACTATATATAAAGCATAATTCTTTGGGCGTAAATAATAGTTATATTATACTGGAAAGAAGATAGTGTACCTGTGTAGCTGAATCTGAGGTTTATGTAATGCTTAGTATATGAACAATGACTATCTTACAGTTGAAAATGTTTACTGATTTATATAATTACATTTTATAATTACCTAACATAAACCTTAGGTACTGAAAAGTACTAGACTTTATTCTATCAATTTGTTTTGACTAATTTGTGAGTCACTTATTTTAGATATAATCCGACTAACCCGATTAAAATGACCTAATTAACCCGAAATCCGAATAACCCGAACCCAACAAGTTAGTTCCATTTCATAGATTGATTGCAATCCATCTATGAAATACTCTAATTCTATATGCGATTTGTCGGTAGATTTTTTTTAAATAGTTAGTTTTGACTATGATTTTCTTAAAGTTGCCTACGAAATCAGAAAGCTATGATTATGAATTCATACAAATTAGTAGATTTTATATAAAAATTTGCAAAAAAATCTTAGCTCATGACTTATATCTTTGGAATTCTTGTTTAACTTCTCAGAAAAGTACATTTTCTTGTCCGTAGCTTCGACAGAGAATTTTCCCAACCAAAAAACTAGAAAAATGAATGGTTTAAAAAAAGGTTTTTATACCTAAAACTTGTTGATTTTTCAGAGATGAAATGGTTGATTTCATAGATGGATTTTCCATCCGTGAACGTACAAGTCTCCAAAGTAGAAACGTGCATAAATTATTTGTACATTCGCATATAGAGTACTCGTTTCATAGCCGGTCCTAATCCATCTTCGAAATTGATAGCTATTGTGTCTAATTTTGTTTTTCTTTTTTTTCTATTTTTTACAAAGTAATTAGCAAATTTGGCTATATTACTAGTTTTCTTTAACTTGTTAAATATGTTCGTATACTCCCTGCCTTGACAAAACCCTAAAGTCAACAAAAGTCAACACTCGATTTAACTATCCATGTTGACCCGACTCGCCAAGTGCATTTATGTGACTCGCCGAGTTCCCCTTGTTCCTTCAGAACCTCGCGAAAACCCAACTAAACTCGTCGAGTTGTCCCGTCAACTCGCCGACTTACCCATGTCCAGACTCATCGGGTAAAACCCTAACCGACTCGTCGAATCAGCTCTTTGACTCGTCGAGTCCCTAAGTCAAATTCTCATTCAGACGTTTCAAGGCAGATCTATCACTCCAAACTCTAGATCTAGCCTCCCAAGGGTCGAATGTCACGTAAAGCTTCGATCTTTACGTTCATGCATGGCATGTTTGCTTCATAATGCCAAATAAAAGCTCTAACCAAGGTGTTTAAGCACAATAACTCTTTATGGATGGATAATGTAACATCCCAGAATTCAAGGCCAAAAATTTCATTTTTAAATAAGTTATTTTAAAACCAACAGTATAAGAAAACATCCATAATATCATGTCATGTCAAAACCGAAGTAGAAATAATCAAAACATGTTATCATAAACAATATCAGAGTGTAATCCAAGAGATCTCATGTGCGGAAAAATCATAGTGTGATACGCTGCGATCGAGCCGGCTCATTTCCTTTAAAAACGAAGTACCTGAAACCAAAACTGAAAACTGTAAGCACAAAGCTTAGTGAGTTCCCCCATCATACCTCATACCATACAATCACATAGCATACATACTGCCGGGCAATTATGGGGTGCCCGACCTACCCATGTCAAGCCATTCTGGGGTGCTGACTACCCATGTCAAACCATTCTGGGGTGCTGACTACCCGTGTTAGGCCATTATGGGGTGCCTGCCTACCCTCCGGTCTCTCTCACCTGGTCACGGGGACTATTTCACCCCTACTACTATCACATAATAACATATCATAAACATGTTGTCAGACATATCTGAG